ATCTAATATTCGGCAGCACAACAAAATGTCGTGATCTGCATGTTGGTCAGCCCTGCCGAACGGTCGTTTCAACCCCTTTTTTCCATTGGCTCGCATTTTTTGACATCGTGCCGTGTCACGTTTTAACTTAGTTTCCTCTATATCAGCTATCGAATGAATGAACAACAACACACCTGGAGGGCGATAATGAAGCAAAAATATGATAAACCTCTACTTTTTCAGTTCTGCTGAACGAAATCGTAAAAGTAGAATAATTTTTCCAAAGCTTCATTTTGACGTACAGACGTAACTGAAATGCGCACATTTGCATGAATTAGGTGCTCTCGTGGTTTCCCTGATCTGGTCAGAATTGAGTGCACGCGTTAGTTTTGGGAGTGACCGCAGAGTGTGTTATCGGTTTTTTTTATTGTCTCACAACACACCACCAACTAACCGGTACAATGCTACCCTAAATATAAATTGAAAAAGTTACAGGATAATGACTAAACGGAAGAATAAGCTGTTTGGCATAGTGGTCCCGCACCCTCCTTCCATGCGATGGGTCTGGAGTTCAAATCCCGGACGGGACGGNACGGTGGATATGTAATAAGAACAAAACTCGAGTCTAGTGCTTCCGTACGTATGGTTAACTGGATGAACTGAGGATTGTGCGTGGAGGTGAAGTTCGAAGAATAGTCAGTTAAAATCAATAGATATCAATTATCCCACATCACTACTAACAAGCAATTGTGAGCTAAATGCAAATAATAGAATGTGTCCACAAACATATATCGCTAATCGCCTTTGTTCTGTGGAGACATCGTTACGGAACACTATTTCCTTCGCTGATGAAGTTCCACAAAATATTTCATTGCAGGTGTCCAAGACCACCTTTGACTTGTTATTCTCGGTTTCACATTTCGTTTTCCTTCTGGCACGCTTTCAGTTATAGATCAGTGGCGGTACCAACACTAGACCAGAACACTAAAACAAACCATTTTCTTGCCTCGTTAACAATAAATGCTTTCCCCTTGGGCAACAAATTCGTGTTCTGTGAACTGCAACATCAAGCATGTTTGTCCATGTGTTTTCGGGGCGTGGTGCATCGAGTGTCGTACTTTTTCTACCTGACATCCTCCACCACATCAGCTCTAAACTTGTTTTTGGTCGTTGTTCAGTCAGGTGAGTCAAGGGTGGACGGGGGGTGGGGTTCGTGGTTGCATATTCTACGACAGTGGAAAGTAAAATGACTACTTGTCGTCTTTTCCCCCATTCCGATAGCAAACAAGCCGTTATATCTTTTTACAATTCCAGTTGTATGCATCATCATCATCATCATCATCCAGTTCGCGTGTACTCTTCTTTCAACTCCATTGGGAAACCGGTGCAATGGGTTCTCCCAATAGTCTCTCATTCCTCGTTCGATGAGTATGTTTACCAATGTTGGACTTGTGAAAGAATTACGTGTTATAATGTTGTGCTCTTGGTGAGCCTATCCTGCCCAACTACGTTGTACCAGGTCGTCTACCAACTACGGGCACTCTTTTCTGAGCTCACGTTCAGACTGCAAGATGTATGGCAGCATGTTGCACGTACACTTCTTTTTGTTGTCCACTAATATCAGAAATTTCATGTCTGATTGTTCTGGCTTGTGTTTTGGTATTTGCGTGACCTGCCACGTTCTACGTTTCAGTGACATCAAATCTTCGTCGACTGAAAATGAGAAATAATTTTTGAGAACTCCTTTGGTTGCCCTGGGTATTGACGAAATTGAACAGCTTCATTATTGAAGGTTATTTGAGCTCCTACGATCTGGGTTAAACAAGCCCCTTGCTGTGTACTGTTAGGGCAGTGTACTTCTATTTCGTGTTTCACGTGCCGAGAATGACCAGTCACTAAGGTCAAAGCAGCGCATAACGGTGGCACATCGAGGTCAACTAACACTGGGCCCAGCTAATTTATCCGTCGGTTTCTGTAGGCAACGGCAACAAAGAAGACGGTCAGGTGCGAAAGTGGTCCAAATGACCGCTTGGTTCCAGGAGCGTGTGGGCGGGGTGAGGAGGGGGTAGGGGGTGACGGGCGGAACGGAGCAGAACGATGTGGATACCTGTAGATCGGACACTGTTTAAGCGATAACATGTAACCAGGTTGGAAGTTTTCCAACCAGATCGTAACCGAAGCGGCTAGTGCTGAATTGTGCAAGGTACGATGCCTGCATTAAATTCGCGAAGATGGGTTGTGCTGTATCTTGTCAATAAGCAAATAAGCAAATAGTCTGATTAGCAGCTGTCTGGCGGTCAACTGGATGTTTATTATACTTGCCATCTACCTGTAAGATCCCGGGTTCAATCTCCGGTTGGGTTGGCGGATTCGCACTGCTAATGAGACGCAACCTGTTTAAAACAACTATCCATTGCTCCCTAGCTTTTCACTTCACGTCGTTTCATACGACGAAGTTTACCACATGAAAGTACAAATTACTTCAACTGAGAAAAATCATGAAAGTAGGGACACGGAAGCTCACCTGAGAAAGTGTAGATATGAAAAAATAAAATGATTCAAACGACCATATGGTTTTTAAACTGATAGATTGCGAAAATAGGCATTGCCAAAGCTAATTCACGGAGCGTGAACAATGAAACACCCGTTGAAAGGCCACAACACGTTCCGTCTCATCAAGGGTGGTCGTGGTGGTGCAGTCGTTTTGTCGCTGTCACAGGCTTGCTTTGGACCCTATGTTTCGAGGTTCGAGTTCCGCCACCCAACTTTGGGGGTAGACCGCTTTGCTGTTGTCCGGTCCAATACCACACCTAACCCATCGGGGCCTTAGGTGGTTCGCCGCTCCATGTCCCGGGGATTAGTTTGTCGGTTTTCATCACTGAACAGCAAGTCTTTGTGACTATGGGGCTTTCCCTATCTGCTGTTCATCACACGAAAGTGTGTAAGAAAGTCTCATTAACCAGGTCTTCCTGAGGCATCAGGCCGCTTAGGCGGATTGACATTACATCAAAGCTCGTCTAAGTTGCGTGGTATCTCAGACAGGCTTGTCCGATGGGATTTGGTGAAGGGTCCTCAACTGTGGTTTCAGCAATGCGTAATTCGTTGTTTGGCTTTTCCCAATTAGAACTGCACTATGTTAACACTGCGAGCGAGAACCGATTCTCTCCGCAACGAACCACGCAGTGGTTTAGTCGCTTTTATCGGCGTGGTTTAGACCCTGTGGTCCAAGGCTCAAGCCCCGACATTGCCACCCAACTTAGGTAGTAGGCAGCTTTACTGTCCTCCGGGTCAATAGCACGCCTGACCTAGCCTTATGTGGTTCTCTATCCCAGATCCTTGGAATTAGGTTGCCGGTTACGATCACTGAACAGCAGGTCTTCATAACAATGAGGTTCACCCCCGTCTGCTTTTCATCGCCTCAGTTACGCACGCAGATGAGCTCTCTGTGTCTCGACCACCGACAAGTGGCGAAATTGAATCATGCAACAACCAGTTCAAACAGAAAGGCGCCTTTCCGTTCGGTACGGTTTTTACATTCAGTCCATTTATGGGCTTACTTGATTCCAGCACACTTTTGTTTTATTGTTCTGTGTTCTTATTCTTTGTGTAAAATGCATTCGTTTAGTCTGTTTTTCGAGGTCACAACTGCTAATTTTACACATTCGTATCACATCAAGATATCCTCGTATCCAGTGGACTTGAAACTCCCTTGAGCCACAGAACAATCAGCCTAAACTCGACCTGTTTATTATCATATGCGGTTATTGTGCATGAGCTATTCGACCTATTTTCATTGTTGCCAATTCCGGTCGGATTCCTTTTCCTAAAGTATTTCGATCAAAATTGGACCAAGTCCCATGGGACTATTGTAAATTCGGGCAGGTTATTATCGTTCGTATCGGTTAGGTGAATCCATCTGATCAGATATCCGAGCCAGCAGCGGTCTGAGTTTTGTATCGTAGGTTCCTCACCGTCAACAGAGTCGTTCGTTTGTGAGTTGTTTACTTTAACCCCGGGAGAGAGGTCGAAGCAGTCGTCCAATCAGTTGTCTGTGTTCCCCGCAACTTGTCTCTAGAATTTTGTTCATAACTTGATGAAAATTCATCCCCTGGATGATGCTTAAAGCGTTTCTTCACCGACTGACTAACTGATGCAGAATATGAAAGAAACTAATCACACTCGGTTTATTCAATGTGTGCTTTTTGTTTGCTTTAGACCCATCCTCCACCCTGTGAGATGCGTTGTGGCTCGTTTTCTAGGATCACGGTTGAGCTGGGTGTAACTTGCCCGAGGGGAAACGATCTAAAAGGTGACTGCCGTTGGCCACTTGGGCCACGATGTTAGCTCTTTGGCCTTGGTATCATGTGAACTGAGGGGGCTTATCTATCTCATGTACACGTGTCAACTGTCCGGTGTGTAGTTGATTTACTACCCCCAATCGCCTTCAACCACCATGGTGGTAGCCTTTGACCTCTGACCGGATAACCATCAATACGACCTTAATATGTCACGTTGTGGACCCAAATTCGGTGTTGACTGTTTGCATTACCGGTCAACCCCGTACATGTATTCATGCTTTTACATGTAATGCTTTCAAAATGGACAGTGAATTTGTTGTGGACAGTGCAAGCGAAGCGTGAAGTGAAAGTCCGTTTAAATCTGGTTAGGTTTCATCAGCTGGGTGACCGAAGTTAGGGTCGAATTCAGGTCGAACGCAGGCGCACTATCCACCGGGTAGCCGATCTAAATTTCTATACACGATAGAGCACAGTCCACCATTTCAAATAGAATTTTTCGACGCTGATTCGTGAGTTTTGAGTCTCTATTCCTATCTCGGTAATAAACCGACCGATTGTCAGCGTGTGTGTGTGTGTGCGATATTCAGTAAAAATCTTGATCAGTGCATGTGAAATCAATACTACATTGTACTGATCAGACCACGAAGCCATAATGTTACTGAGCTGTCACCGGGATGAATCCATACTAACTCTCGAGCGCATGCACCGTCTTTTATTTCAGGCATCAAACTGGACGCTTTGGCGGTTGGTGGACAAGATGGTTGTCGTGTGATCCAGATTCTTGAAGGTGGTGCAATCTTCCAAAATAACGCGCTCGGAATAAATGACTACGTGACGGAGATAAACGGTCGTGATATGCGCGGCTTAACCAATTTGGAAGCGTTTAACATTCTGCGCGATGTGTCTGCAAACTGTGACACGGTCTCGTGAGTCTTTTGTTGTGTTCGTGTTTTGTTTTCTATGCTTTTCCATTTGGTCTCTTTCAAGCTGCAATCCTCTTTGATTTTGGCGTATGTGTTAGGAAAATCCATACTGCGACTCCCGGAGGCCTCATCGGTGTACATGCACCACATGGACTCCATCCTCCACCAGAATAAAAGGATCGTTTTTGGAATTCTTTTTCGAAATAGTCCTCCATATAGCACATTTCAAACAAAACAGACTAGCGAGCAAGCTCGTTTTCAAAGATTCGTCTTGGGAAAATAGAATAAAATTACAGACTACTGGAAACGATTTCATCATGAGACCGGAAATCGGATTCACTGCGTTCACATACTTGTTTATTCAACCATCCGATGATCAAGCTTACTCGTGATACGGCATCTGTGTGCGGTGGGCCAGGGAAGCTTTAACGCTTGCACACATTGTTTTTGGGCACACGAAGTGGGCTGTTCAGACGAGTGCTCACCGCTTCTGCTGTGGTCAACATCCAATAGTGAACCTGTCTCAAAAATCGCCCACTTACTCTATACGGGGCCCGGAAAGCCTCGACCACTTCCACGGTGATTTGTTCCAGCTAGGTGTGAAGCGACTGCAGTGATGAGTGACTTGATCATTCTGGTGTTCAACCACCCAGGGTAGTGTTCACGAATCCGTTTGGACAATGGCCTGACCATGTGACCTATGCACGTTGATTCCTAGAAATAAGTAAATGAGTATACACAGAATGAGACCGCAGAGTCTGGAAGTTTATCTCCCAGTCGCTGAAACATAATTGGCTTGGACGTGAACAACATACATTTTTTCCATCCCTTTTACATTCATTGGTTGTAAATACACACATGATGTTGTTTTAGTTTGCAAAGCATCCACCTCTGAAAAGGTTTTAGAAATTCAAAGCAAGTTAAACGACATTGCTAGCTAATCCTTGTCCCGTTCCCTCTTGTTAACTGACTCCCCAACCCACCCTTTCTATCAATCAACAATAGTAAAATACCCTGGCGTCAAATTATCACACAATTTATCATGGTCACTGCATGTCCAAAACCCATTCTGTAAAGGTAGAGAGCTATCATATTTTTCATTCTGATTGAGAATACTTTCTGTTCCCCGCTGCTGATTGTTAGGCTCATGGATGCATGTGTGCTCCCCCACATTGATTTTCCCGGTTTGTCGAAAAAGACTATGTATTGTTGAGATCTCTGAAACATATCGATAAATGTAGTGGCATCGTCAGGGATAAACTTTTATTTGTACGTTTCTCTTCATATCGTTATTCTGTTTTGTCATATCTGGCACGTCTGCATGTTGACAAGGAGAAAGTTTCCACAGAATTACGCAATGGCTTGTTTCATTGATAAGGAAACTATTTACTGCTTTCAGGTTCATTATGTATGATTTTGTAATAAAATTGCATCTACAAGTATGGTGTAAAATGCTGAAAATTCACGCTCCGGATACCTGTCACGTGTAAGATCACGACGCAGTGGTCTACTGCCGAAAACAATCCTTTTCGTCGCGGAAAATGTTGAACTATGTCGTTTTTGACTGTCTATTTCCTCACTTGTGATGCACAAACACTCCCCTTCTATTGTCTTGTTTATGATCTATTTTTCACCGCACTATCCTGGTGTGCGCTATTCAGAATCATGTTAGCTTCAGTTGATTGTTTTCATCCAGAACGTTTCAATATGTATGTATACGTTCACTGCCTGGCTTGATTACACGATCGCGATGACATTCGTTGACAGTGTGATAAACAGGAGGGTCTCGGTAGCCGTTGTTTACGTTTACACCTCCGTATTCAACGCATGCACGCATCGGGCAGTGAACGCGTTTGCAGCCCACTTGGTCGAACACTGACCCCCGCATTTTATCCGGATCCTCCAATCACGCCTCGCGTGGATAGTGTCGCTCCCTGTTTGCTAATCGCCAGTCACAGTTACCACTTTCAGAACTGCGTGCTACTGATGTTCATATCACTCCGACTACTGTGCTTGGTCGTGTAAATTTATTTGTAGTTTGCGAAACTTCTACTCAGACTGTGCGCCATCACAAGTGTGTGTGTGTGTGTGTGTGTGTGTGTGTGTGTGTGTGTGTGTGAACAAACCAGTCTATTCGATGTAGTCGAACGTAAAATCGTAGCAGCTTCCCACCCGGCGACCCCTCCCATTCTTCAGTTCAGCACTCACACCCAAACCCTTTTCGAGGGAGAATGCGACTAGCGGCTCGTCGCAAATCAGTCATTTGTCCCCATCATCGATTCAGACGGGTTCGCGTCATGTTGCACAGTCAAGCCGATCATCTCGTTTTCGACCGCAGCGCACCAAAACTCGATGTGTGTGTATGTGTATTGCCGTGTGAGAGTGAGAGCGAGAGTTCATTTGTTATTCCGTCCGATTCGACCTTGACTGATGAAGTCGAGCCTGCGAGGTACTGTGTTTTGTCCGTCCGAATTGGTGCATCACGCAACTTTATGATTACAACAAGCAGAACTTGTATTGTGCTGCCACACTTCTAATCATTAACTGATTGTTGATCTCCTCATATGTTCTAGTTTTCGACACGAACCACCTTCAAAAGTGATTTGAATCATAAATCACCTTTCGTGTATCACTAATGAACAATTTACTTTTAATTCCTGCTTTTTCGTCAGTTTTCGAGTGGATGATGTCGTGCCTACGTTCTACGCCTTTTTCACCTAAAATTACCTTCGTGCCGAGTCAGTGTCCGGGTGTCATTTCAATCTGTCAAAGCATCACATCCATACTTCGGCATAAAAACGCTGACATTAGAGTCATCAAGTCCACTTACCGTTCAATACCATGGCGTTGCCTTCATGGTCATCTATCAGCACAATCATCTCCCAGCTTACTGTTATAAGGTGCTATAACCTACTTCAACCACACAAGCCTCAAAATCAATGACATCTTGCATGTTCGCTCAGACGCGTGCGCAGACACATTGCCGAGTAGCGAATTCAGCTGTTTCATTTGCAGTTTTATCCGGTGAAGCTGGGTCAAACGACAAAGCAAGATCACCCACTTACAACCTCATTTCACCACCGACCTTCTGAATCGTTTTCACATCTAACGCTTTGCTAGTGCTTTTTTGCACTTGACGCGATGAGTTTTCGCTTTATCACATTTATAAACCCCGGAACTGAGCTGTAAGGGTTTGAAGTCCTACCGGACTGTTCGCGGTTCGAGTTCTGACAGGGACACAAAAAGTACGCACTGCTGACGAGTCCCAGACAAGATGAAACAGCTGTCTAGTGCTCTCTCTCTGTCTCTTGGTTATCACAAACATTTCCATCGCATTTGAAACGCTGGAACTCTTCGCATGTCTGGCCCATCCACATACCTGAGGCGTTTAACCTGACTAAATGCGCTCTATCACCGCTTTCTCCGTCCATCTTGCATTGACTGACACGTGACATGTCTTCTGTTCGAGCGTCGAAAAATCAAACTAAAAACGAGTGACTTTCCCGCTCCGGATACCTTGACGATTTAGGAGAGCCCGGACTGAGATGGGCTTTTGAGATGTGATCATGCTTTATCGTTTAACACCATTTCACCGGATAAAAATGCAAGCGAAACACAGTTACATTTTTAATTCATCTATGCGTTTCCGATCTGGTGCAACACCGAATGTGTAGCTGAAATTATATCCTTATTAGACTACTCGTCTGCTATGTGGGTGCAAAAGTTTCGGGCCAGTAACATTCTTATTTTTATACTATAGAACAGTGAGAAAACTTACTTCTTCAGAACAGCGAAGGATTATGAGCCTGACTATGGTCAAAATAGTCATTTTGATTGTTTGATACGTTTCATGTGCGCCATGGAATCGAATGTGTAATGCGCATTCTTGCTTGCGTATTCATGACCGTATCCCAGTGGTTTTTCGAATGCAACCTTTACTAAATCAGTTGTTTCGACCCTATTGAATAGCTTTTGACTAGCAAGGATAAGCGGAGACAGCCCGCATTCGATCTGGTACATTTTACTCTGTGGCGTCGATTTTGACGAAAATTTGCATGTACTCGTTACACCAGGTTTGGCATGTCTGCGCAAGAGCATGTGCCATGTCTTTTGTTGTATAAGTTAATATGGCCAAGTCGATCAGTTCAGTTTCAGTTTTTACAACCATTAACCATGCACTTTCGTGCGCCGGTTTTGGTTACTGTCTTTTGGTTGCCAAGTCGATAGAGAAGATGTGGTGGTATGGTGGCATGTGGGGTTGGTGTTCAAATGGTTTCTCTTATCGACGCTGGCCACGGGGGCACTAGAGTCCGCCATACAATTTAAATAGAAAATCGCCTCACTGTCATCCGATTCAACCCCGCGCCTATCCTATCGCCTCAGGGTTTAAGTGACCCTTTTTCCATAACCGAGCAGTCGATCTTCGTCACGGTGAGTCTCGTCTCTGCGACTGATCATCAAACCAGGGTGTATAATAAAGATTCAACATTTTGGTTACCACGTTTCATCTTGCTCTGGGCCGTTGAAATGCTTTGCCATTGTTTTCAATTACTTTCAACGGCAGTAACATGATTCTGTGATACGAATCATCGAGAATTATAATTTTAAAGAAATACCGTATAGGAAATTACTAAGTAATATGTGAATACTGGACAAAATTCCCTGGAAGCGCATGACCGGTTTCGCGGTTCTTGCCGCTCGTCAGGTATGCGTATCCGGTAATCTTTTGTCCGTTCATTCATATACTTATACCCAGGAGGAGTATTTTCGTCACAATAACCTTGTTTGCACCACCTGGTAATTTTTAGATAGACAGCTCTTCGATAGCCAGTCCATTGAAGAATCAATACTATCAATCGATGTTTTGTAGGTGGGTTGGATGCTACTAACTGCAACTAAGGTGACTTGATCACCTTTATGGAATATTTCATAATAAGTGTTATATGATTGACTGGAGCGGCAAGAACCGCGAAGTTGGTCATGTCTTTCTAGGGAAATTTTGTCCATTCGTATANTAATGTTGCTATATTTGCTATATATATATATATATATATATATATATATATATATATATATATATATATATACCAAAATGACAAAACGTTGTAAACCGAGGATATTTAAGCGGTTTTCGGGATTCATTACTTGTTCTATGCTTGAGTTAAAAGGTTGCTATTATGTTCCATCTAGGCCTTATATTTTCTGTCACTTATTGTGTAACGGTCTAAGCTAGTGGTTTTCATAAGGGAACCAACGGTTCCCATGATCAATATTTTTATCCCTCGCTACCAGTCATCATATTCAGATACTAGTAAATAACTATGTAAGATAACGATGCAACTCGTATCCAGGGAGAATTCACCGTGGTGGATGTTTCTCTGATTTATAGGATCCATGAGCAGTGGTTAATGTTGTCTGTTGCTTCAGTTTTCGTAATTGATTGTTGAAGTACACATTCTGACTCACAGGGAATGTTTCACATCCATATACACTTACTCCGTGAAGTTCTCGTTATTCCTTCTATTGGTTATCGGATACCTGCCCAATCAAGGTTTACTCATCGCGTTGGGTTCGGTCTCCCCCCGGGGGATCTGGTAAATCCCTCTTTTCGTTGGCTTGAGAGTATGACATTCGTAATCGGTCCGTTGAAAACGAATTTGACGGTTTGATCGAGAATTGTATTCAGCTTTTGTCTCCCCTCTTATCCAACTAGTTTTATTTTCGTCGTTCGAGAGTTCAGCGCCGTTTTGATCAACCGCTCTCTCTCTCTCTCTCTCGCTAACCAACATATATCTAATCAATATATTGTATTTTATGATTAAAAAAGATATGTTTCTCATTCTCATTATGTTCTGGATGCACTGAATAAATGCAGGTTTTTCAAATCCCATTTTTCTCGGCAGCCGTTGGGTTTCCCCTACGTTGTGTCTGAAACTGTGGGGGGGGGGATGCGAGTCACACGCGGTCGAAATTTATTCCTCGTATCATTTCCATTGCCTCATAACACCAGCCAGGGGGAGGGTTCCATGTGTAACAAATCGATCCACAAAACTAATTTTATCTGTTTGGTCGGCGTTGTTGTTGTGTGTTATCAATCAGTCAATCAATCACACCCCTTATCACGAAGTGCATAAAGGAATAATTTATAGACTGTGCCGGTGAATTAGGAACGCGACTCATCAGTTATGCTTATCCAATTCGGTTGATTTTTCTGTTTGTTATTGTATATTTTTCCGCGCATCTGTCAGAATCCGATTTATACCAGCATCAGCAGTCCAAATACATCGATTGTTCAATCTGGAGCGATTAGGTCAGTCCGAACGACCGCCTCTAGTGCCCCCAGTGAGGTGAGTTGTATTTCGCTTGCTGCTATCGATTCTTTGGTTTTCCTCTCGCACACACACACACTATCTCTCGAGCTTCGAGCTCTTTTTATAATTTGTATGATTTTCTGTGCTTTTTATCCCCAAACATGCTTTTGACCTACATCTCTGGAGTAGTATAGTTCGAACCAGGCTACCGAGGTTACTGTATCCTACTCTGGAGAACTGTGCCTACATCGTGATGCATCATGCATAACCCACTGGTGAACTGGTAAATCGCTTAGAGAGCTTTTCCGATGTGACTTTACTGGACTCGTCGTTGTGTGCATCATGTTGATTGTTTCGTGTCAGTTTCTTCGAAACTCCACCAAATAGTGACTGCAATGTGTTATGTATGGCAACTTTCTCGTGAACATCGTGCACGATTTCAGTAGCTTTCCTCAGCTCGCTTTCGATCATAAGTACCGAGACTCCAGAAGCACACCACCCTATTTGGCTGATGGGCAGGTTTCGACGTTACACATAAAACCCAATGCTACCCTCTGTGGTTCGTCACCTCAAGCCCCAGGGCTTACGTTACCGATTATCATGGTGGTCCGCTTCTCCTGTTGTTTATCTAAACAATATGCATGGTAAAATTGCTAGTATTGTATTCCAAACTGTTTTCAGTTCATTAGACTGTCACGTTGAATTCCACTCTACTTTTGCGCCCAGTGACTAGGTCTCTTAAATGAGACTTCTGTTCTACGTTTGTTAAAGCTTCTATTTCCCTATAATCTTTTCTCGTTTCCATGTAATTCGTTTAACGAATTGATGCGGTTCGTTGTACACAGGCTAATCTGCGTATGTGTGGTATTGTCATGGGATTGATCAGTGTTATAACCGTACCGATTATTCTCGACGAGGTGGACCCCATAGGTGCACAGACGTGCTATTTAGTGATGGAAACCGGCAACATAAGCCCCGGAACTTGCAGTGGCCAATCACCAAAGATCCCACTAGGTTAGAGTGTGAGCAGGGAAATACATATTCACTCATTCATCATCGTACAACGCGAGATACAGTGAGCCGAACTTCGCTGATCGCTATCGAGCTCACAATATACACAAATAAGGTGATAAAGTACAAGATGGAGAGGGATCGGGTCTCATTGGAGAGAGGAAAAGAAATTGAACCTCTATGGTCGACACACAGAGTACGCAATCTAAGTGTGCATTCTGACCTGATAGGAAATGACAACAAGAACGCCACTGCTCTCGATTCTCTGCCATATCCTTCAGTGTCTCCAACCAGCCAGTTTTTTGGACCTCATCCTGGACGATGCGAGACACCTATTCTACCTAATCACTGTGCATTTCTGCAAGCCTCGTTTCCACGTCATCTGTTGACCTCCACGTGGTCTCTTCTAAACTGAAACCGTAACTGTTTATTCATTCCGTGCTGATTGTTTCCCGGTTCCGATCATCGTCACCTTAGTTCGACTGTCCTCGTTCTGATGGTTCGCTCCGGAGCAAAGCAGTTTTGCGGAAGTGGACTGATTCCCTCACAGTCTTGTGCTCACCACTAGATCGGACCGCCGTTGATAATTCAGTCGATTCTATGGGCTCCGAATTTAGTAGCAGATAGTGATATGCCCATTGCTCTCAGCGCGGCCAAAACATTGTCAATTTGTTTCTACTCTCCAGTTTTTCTGGTCACCGTCTTACTTTCAATCTCACACAATTTTGCAAATCGTGTTGTATAGCGCTGCAGATGGACCTGGCATGACCAATCATTTGGATGTTCCTACCCATTCCTGGATGAAAGTGGGCCGAGTCAGTCTACGCCGTCAACCGCAAGAGAAAGCTTGGGGTCTAGAACTATCAGGTACATCAATTCGTCAGTCATTTTTTGTGGTAATAAGGCTGAAACTTGTTCAGTTTCCTATTTTGAACATTCGTAATCTCTGTTTTTGAAAATATTGAGCTACGTGTCATGTACGTGTCAACTGGCTTCCAATTCGTTTCCTGAAATCCAGTACGTGTGTCG